CAAAAATATACATTTACAAACAAAAACTCGTCGAAAATAGTTTTGAAAAATTATTTTTTCTTTTTCTATGCGAAGGAAATCTTTTTAAAAGTATATCTAAAACTGTTCGATATGTGAATGTGAATGTGAAAACCCTGAATCGTATATCCTTTGGCGGATAGCGTGCAAATATATGTCTTTTGCGGCATAATCACACGCTCACCAAAGGACGAACTACTTCTTTCTGGCTCTCGGGAAGATTTGCCGAAACGAGGATCGAGCAGTGCGGCGGCGGCGGCCGCAAAGCCACGGGAAAAATGCTCTAAAGTTTTTTATTGCCGGCGGCCTTGTGCGCTACACTTGTTTTTCGATGACGATAAATTTTAATTATTTCGCCTTTACGACTCGTACGCCCTGCCCGAAAATCGTATAAAATTTATATCCGACTAGTGGCGGCAATCGTTGACGCTTTTGAGCTTTATTTATGAAATAACTATATATGAATTAAACAACAGCGCGGCAAACCCATCCAGTATCTGAAATCCGCGATAAAATTAAACTCGTCATGAAAATATATAAATAAATCTGTTTTATAATAAAAGCCACGGACAGCCAAAGTCGTGACTAAAGTACTTTAGTCACGGGGTGGACCTTGCGCTGTGCACGTTTGCTTACTGTGCAGCAGAAGACGTGAAAATATAGTAGAAAAACACGCTAAAGTTGTTAAAGTGCCACTTAGCGCACTTGATGCTTAATATGCTATTTAAGTACGTTTAACTGGCGAAAAAATAAATAATTCAAAGAAAACGCCAATAATACATACATTAACCACGTTTAGTAGTGAATCAATATTAATTTGTCGGTAATAAAGTTCGAAATCAACGCTTGCGATAAAGTTTGCGGAAAAGTTTTCCGTTCGGGTGTGTTTTTTGCGCGCTTGTAAAACAGTGTAAATGCAGAAATAAATCGATTCCAATAAAGCAACCTCAATATTGCCACCGCTCGCAAATAAACCAGCGTCGGGGTCAAACTTTGCTCTTTAAACAAACCCCGACAGCGCAAATAAAATCAATGTTTATTTCACTGTACAACGCGTTCAATTGAGGTTAGTTGCTTGTTGGGTTGCATAAAAAATCACTTGCATTCGCATAAATTACGTTTATTATTATATTTTGTATGATTTTATAAGATGAAACAGACGACGAAAAAAAAAAACGGAATGCACCGTCGTAAAACCGGAATGGTCGTAAAAATATTGTTGCTCAACCTGCACGCGATTTTGCACCCGGGACTCCTTAAGGAGCATCGTCTTTGCAGCAACGGCGGCGGCGGCTGGCGACAATTCGATTAGGCGAAAGAAGCGGTAAAAGGCTTCCCCCGATATTCTCCTTTACGGCATGTAACTGCATTAACATGCTAAAAATGATATAGCTGCCGGGGGCGGCGAGGGAATTCCAGACATCACATATTCGGCCCCGGCACCACCACACGACAAAATGCCTCAGAAACGTCCGCGCGACGCTCGATACAGAGGAATGTATAAAATATATAAAGTCTTGCTTACATTTTACCACATTCACACACAAACACACCCGGAATATATGTCGAGCATGTGTATATTTGATGTCTTTTGCTTCCTCGGTTATTTTTTTTTTTCGTCCCCGGGTTGCTTCTCCTTCATCGCGATGTTTGCTCTCTGCTCTTTTCCATCTTGTTTATTCCTCGCTTCTTTTTTGTGTGATGTGTGTTGGGGCAACGACTCTTCCGGCATGCCGACCGGGGCCAGCATCTCTTGGTCGGATTGTCGGAAAAGTGTGTCGACGTGCCGAGGCGGCGAATCGATTTTATTCGGAAGACGGCGACGGTGGCGTGTGCACCATGAAAGCCAGATACAGATAAGCCGGCGTTCGCCGATTAGAGAGATAAAAGATGAAGCTTTGAACGGCGTGCGGGGGCGGCGGCAGCAGCGAAAGAATGCGGATTCCAGCGTTTGCGGTTTTTTCTTGGGCTCGCGCAATACTTGAAGCTGTCGAGTGTTGAGCGGAGTACAATCGAATGCAGGAAGGCAAATTTGCTTTATCAAGAATCAATAAAACGAAATGAAAATAAAAAAATTGTTTTCATCACCAACACCAACACACAAACAAAAATGGTTTGTTTTGCTTACATTTTGCGCTCGCGTGGAGTAATTGCCGACATTTGTAACCTTCCGATAAAAATTTATCGCACATAGGCAACTTGTATGCCAGGGCAACGTCTTTATATGTACGTGTGGTTGCCTATATATCTTTCGGTTGAATTTGTTATTCCAACGGTATTCGCATTCTTTGCGGGGCGAATGCGCTTCGACATCACGCGCAATTCGCGCGACTCACTAACCAGGAAAATGTTTTCGGCGGGCAGAGAGTATACAAAGAAGACGCGCACGAATGCCTGCGGGGTTTATTATGCAGCTGTGTATGGATAATAAATTCGCGTAAACCTTTTTCTGCTTTGATGCTCCAGTCCTGGTGCATTTACGGACTCAAAGGCAGCATTAATTCGAGACATGAAACTTAGAAAACATGCGATAAATTTATTTCGTATATACAGAGGGTTTCCACAAACAAAGCGATTAATTTTTAAATTTTTATGGACTTAATTAGTCTCGGCTAAGATTGTAAGCGTTAATTAAATGACCATTAAGACATTATCTCGTCCGGGCACGAGAGGTTTTTATTGTCGGCTCGCCGCCGGCATAACGAAACAGCATGGGATGATACAGTCCGCCATTATGATTATTATTATCACTTTAAATTTAATTGCGCATTACGATTGCACTTGCACCGCGAGCGGAACATATTCAGTGATTCGTATGCGTCTGTTAGCCAACATTTACTAATATTGTAATTGTGTGTGCATATGGTTGCGGGGTTTTGCGCTATGCGCGTGCGTCGTTATAGTGGCGCTATCTATATTTTGTATTCATGTCACTGTTATGAGTTTTACGACGATTACGACGTTTGCAGTGCGGTGGTTGTCTTTTTGCTGCGCGTCGTTTAGTTGAAATTAGTTTCCATCGCCGCGGGGGCGGCGTACATGCTAGATTTTATATGCTGTGGGTTTTTAATAAAAATTAACATTTAATGGGAAAATGTAAATTTTACAAGTAAACGTAGAATTTATTTTATATAAATTTAATTTTAATTTTTGCATAAAAAAATTGTTTTTGATTTGAATTATTATTATTTATCTGAAGGTTTAATTATTCAATTGTGATTCGTGTATAATTTGTATAATCTGAATTGTGCGAGTTGTTTAGCACTCTGACGCCACGATTAAAGCTCTAGTCGAGAGTAACCCTCCGCGTTGGGGTTGTCCTCTTGTTATTTAACTAGTTTTAAAACACAACTTTTCGCCGCCGGGCGCGGCGCGCGAACTTCCCCGCGCGCTCGAAATTTAAATGCAGTTTGTTCTTTTAATCTGATGGCGCTTGCTGGAAGCAATAAAGCTCGCCGAGACTACAATTCGACGCGCTTTTAAGCATTCTCTCGGGGTGACAACTTTCAAATAAAAGTACACAACAACAATTACCAACTGCACATACTCGTAAAAATAAACTTGTTTTAGCGTTAATTTTCATATTATTTTTTCCTGCGCGTGGGTTTAAAACAGATATTTTTACGCTTTATGTGTTTAAAAAGATTTTCACATCGCGTGTGCGGTTAATTACGTTATTAATATCGTCGAGGTGCTTGCGAGACTTTTATTGCGCCCGACTAGGAAGCATGCTGGGTATAGTTAGGCTACCCGTCGTGCACTGCACTCACACCAGCGCCAGCCGCTAGATGGCTAGATGGCTAGATGGCGAGATACTTAATTAGGTTTTTGCATTAAATTCTCACACTAATTCCTGCATAATGCGTTTTTTTTCTGCGCTTTTCTTCGCTTGTGTGCTTGTATATAGCCTGCGCCGCACGTTCGAACAGATAGAGGGAGCACAGCGCATTATCGTGATGATATTAAGCCACTAGTTTTTCTTTCCTTTCCAGAGGCGTCAAGGCGCTGTTTTAGTATTAGTGGTGTGGTGTCTGTGAGCTGGTCCCGGCGACGTTCTGCGTTATTTTTCTAATTTGCACGCGTCTGGTATTTTTTAATAAAAAATTTCCTCTTCCGCTGCGTGATAAATATTTTCAACAGGATAATTGATATTAAAATTTATTTATTCTATTAATATTAAAGCCGCTATATCGCTGCCATAAATGCGATAATTTAATATTGTTATTCACAATTATAAATCAATGACAAAAATGGTTTATGCGCGCGAATAAAATTCGACGGACGGAAATGTGGCACATCGTAAAATCACGCGCACTCGTGTTTTTTGTTGTTGTATAGTGTAGATATAAAATATTCAAAAATTTTATACCAGCCGGATTGGACATGGAAAAAATGCGGCACATGCTCGATAGTTACTAATTCAACATGAGAGGGCAGTGGTAAAACGCAGTTTTACAACAAGTCAGCCGGACTGTAATTGATTTTAAAAATTAAACAATTACTCACGAATGGAAAAATGCAGCGGCTGGGATTTTGTTGCGTTTGATATTTTTACGAGGTTAACTTACAATTGGTTTCATATTTTAAAATTTAAAGTTGGTAGCGAACGGGTGAAAAACCGAAAAATATTTATTTTTGGTTGAAATTTTAAAAATTCATAAGTTTTGCAGGGTGTAAAGTTGCGCAATTAATTGATCTGTAATATAGAATATTTGTCAATGCTATACATTTAATTCTTTCGGATATATTCCAGTTTTATCGAAAAAAATTGTGTTTTTTTATTCATAAACGAAGTGACGTTACATCGAAAAACAAAAAAATCAAATATAGAGATTTTACGCTGATCGGCATCAGTCAGATCTTTAGTTAGCTGATAATAAACTCAATTACGCTAGTAACAATACCGGTAAATACAGATGGCGCTAGTATTCACATATTAGTCATGTATTGAAGTATTCTAAGCCATAAATTGTTTGTTACAGGTAGTGAGTGCAGATCCGTGTCCGTGTTAGGTCGCGCGCGGCGTGCAGCAGATCGTGTTTTTGTTTTTATCAGTCAGTCGTGTTGTTTGATTGGATCTGCAAGTGATTGTCGTGGCTGGTGAGACTTCGCACGCTGTATTAAACTGGTATGTCGTATTGCATTCTTGAATATTTCTTTATTATTCATATTACATAAATTAAATTACTTTAGTAACAATGCGGGTCGCTCAGTAGTATTCACTTGTGTTATGTTTAAATGATTTTCTAGTAACGCAACGTGCACCCCAACAAATTAGCTGAAAAATCGTGCCTAAGTTATAGAAATTTGCATTGCAATTTGCAGGGATGTTGGGATCATAATTACAACAATATTTCAAATGTTACCCTCGATGTCATGTCTTAAAAAAATATTTTAGCTCATAATTGCTAGAAATTAAAATATTTTTTTGTCGTTACACTGACAATCTGTAACTATATAACGAGAAAATTAATATAAAACAATCGAGTTGTTCACATTTCACATTATAAATAGTAGCGGCAGATGTCACCACATGCTGCTGGCGTGAAAACCCTTGTATTCTCACTTTTGTAATTTTGTGAATATCCCGCAACCATAGTACTTGTTGTTGTTGTACGCAATGACCGTGATTTTAGGCATGATACAGATGAAACGTACAAGCACGATGCTTATTATCCACTTGCGTTAAACCAGGAAAGTTTTTGTGATTTGTTGCGCGCCTGTAAGCCTGACTCTTAAGAACTGTCGGCGGGCGCGCGGCATTATCAAGAGCCATTAGCGCATTAATAAAGGCGCGGGGTTTCTTGCGCCCAGGCGAAACAGGCAACAATATTCACTTTTTAAAAGGCAGTATGCTTTTGTTGCGCGTACGTTTCACCAAACCACCACCAGCGTTACAACTGACGCATCCGGCTCCTGTGTTTCCACACTTTGTAGCCGCGCAACGTGCGATGTACGAAGAATGAGCGCAATTTGCGGAATTACAATGGTGTGCGTTTAATGCGCAGCTATCAGCCCCAGAAGTTTTGCGTTACGCGCTACGCCATTATCTCGAGCTTAACCGCACGAAATGACTTTCGAATGCGTTTTAACTCTGTGATGCGCGTTAATAAAATTCGGAAAATATTTTATTTATTTACTCTAAGCGGCTAATGAAATATTGCATGCAGAAGATTGGTTTGCGGATGATTTTGTGATTGTAGTAAAGCGCTTTATTGTCGACGCCGACGTCGAGTGTAAATATTTCCCCCTCACGGCTTCATTAACTAACTGAGGAGCGACGCGCGTCGCGACGCTCATGAAGGCTAAATTACCGCGGCGTACTAACCGGCTACTTTGCACATGCGCATGATTCACGATTATCAACGCGAGCGTAATTCATTGGCGCGTTTCGCTTCAGCCTTAATACGGTGTTTAGTGTTTACCTTCAGTCGTGCTTAAGTACCGCTGATGCTGATGTAATAATGAATGTTTGCTTGACTAATACACGCATATCCACTTGATGAGCAAAGATTTAATATGCGATGATATAATATACGTGAATTTCATCAATATTTATGAGTTGAATGTAGGTATGTGTTATTTGGGTTGCGTTTTGTGGGAAAAATGTTATTTGGTTTGCCTACGATATAATTATGTGTTTGTGTGTCAATTTCACACTGCATTTCCGCTCCATATTTTTTCTATTCTTCGTGAAGCGTTTCATTAATAATTCAAATCCATCCGGCGCGTAAATAAAATAAAACGACACGCGCTTGATTCATGAGCAATCGAGAAGAGACGCGCGTCGGCGTTGAAAAATGTCGCCGGCGCGCGTCCGCAATCTTTCATATCTCGACGGGCGTCTCGCGCTCGAAGGACCAGCGCTGCCAGCTGTTGCATTGCAAACGCACGCAAAATCCACCTTTCTCGCACAAAAGTCTTTTAATAGTCGTTTTTGTTGACGGCTACTAAGACGCCGGCGACGGCGACGTGCGGATTGATGCATGCGAGTTTTATTGCCGCATCCACGACGTGAAAGCCATAAAACAAAACCCCGCCTCATCTTTCATTCTTTATCTTTCATTCGCGACGTCATATTATGATAAATAAATCGCGGATAGTACATATTATACATATTCCAGTCGGGTTTTAATCAAAATATAATCAATTTACAAATTAATCAACGCGTTTTACGCTTTACGCGCAGTTTTTTGTTTTTTCGCATTTGGTTTTTGTTTTCTTTGCGGTGAGAGGAAATTTATGGATGCTGGAGGGTTTTATCTCCTGCTAACAGTCGATGTTATCTGTGATGAGGTGCTTAAAGTCCTCGATATGTTTGTTTTTGTTCTCCATTCCAGCAAATAACAATTAAATAGTTTTTTTCCGCGTTGCATCAGGTTAAAAACAAGTAAATATTTATATGGATCACCTGGTTTTTATGTTTTTATTCAAAATATTTATTTTGTACACATAGCGCGTTCTGGTGTGAATTCTGGGTTCAATACCGGTATATTTTTAAATGAAACATCGCTACATCGGTAATACCGGTATTTATAAAACAACTAGCTTTAACCCTTGGCTTCGCTCGCGAATATCTAAAATAATGAAGTTGCTTCCATACGCGTCTGTAGTCACAGAAGGAAGTAACAATGAAGTACCAAGGCCGAGGAAGTTTAAATGGCTGAAGGAAGTATAGTCTATGGTAGTATAGTGCATTGCAGTCTCCATAGTGTAGTGGTGGATTTGATGTTGACGTAGCTGTCGGTAATACAGTGTGATAATACAGTGTGATGGTATAGTACTTAGGTTTGACTTTATTGCTGGAATGCTAGATATGGCGTTAAGTAGTCAAAATAGCCAGATGCAGAGGTATTATTAACAAACAAATTCTTTATTTTATTTAAAAATATATTTTTATTAAATAAAAGTAGCCTATAACAATTTCGGGGACCACTAACAATATGTGTACATATTTTCATGATGATCGGTTAAGTAGTTTTTGCGTGAAAGTGTAACAAACATCAGGACTTTCGCATTTATAATATTAGTAGGGATTAAATAAATTAATTCGGAATATTTTCAATTTTGTAAGTCAACTACCCAAGTTGAACTTTTTTGTTGTTCTTTAAAGTTTAAAGTGACTGCTGTGTCGTAGATTTGGAAAGTTTTCACAATTACGACATTTGTTTTTTACTCATCTGTTTATTGATATTGCTATTGAGATATTGGTATACCGGTATATATCACACGCAATATCATATTGAAAAATATTGGTATTTGAAAATAAAAATACCCGTATATTGATATTTTTCACTTCTAAAGGCTTAAGTAAAGCTGAAATATTCATATAATGTTGTTTTGGTTGCCTAGCATGAAACTTAACCCAATTTCTTTACTTTTGCACAAAAACAAGCAAATCAATGTAATCTCTAAGTTTGGCTAAGTAAATAATAAGCGCCATATTGGAATATCTTCGCTTTACCGCCGGGAAAATATGCATTAAAAGTGCAACACGTAATTTATCCCCCGTCGCTTGGCTGCACCGCCAGAGTGCAGATAAGCGCCGCGCGCGCGCCGCCGCCGCCGAGTTAAGTTTACAGCCGCGTTCGTTCAGTTCACGCCCGGAATATTTCTTATGTAAATCCTTCCCTTCAGCCATCCTTCCGACCGGCTCATAAACCGTCTATTCTGAATTTAACTCTCGGCGGAGCGAAACAGACCTCGAACAAATGCAATCCCGACGTAATAATTTGCTTTTATTCGCTTCTTCCCAGCATCTGAAGCCGCTTGTCAAAACCGCCAAAGCGTCAAGTGAGCTGGCAAAGACTATATTTTAAGACCGCGCACATTCTACTCCTACCCGCGGAGAATTTTAAGTTAAGTTATAGAGACGCTTACTATGTTGCCATGGCAACGGTAAACAAATATCTTGCAGAGGAGTAGTTTACGACGTCGCGAAGAGAGAATTTTTAATTTCGAGCAGATTCACCATTCCGCACGCATCCGGCGTGTTAATCTCGCGACGTTTAAAGATGATATTAATCGCTCGGCGTCGCGACGCCCGCCTGCAGAGTGCCTGTGCGCTTATAAATCATTCCGGGCGCATTGTTATGCGCGCCCAGGCGCTCGCCAACTAATTTCAAAGTCAATAAAAACTCGAACAATTCATCTAAGGATCACAGGCGGACATCATCAATATTCAAGCGACAAAAAACATTCATTATCTCACACTGTGGACACACTGTATGCGCGTATTTGTTTAATGTGTGTCAAATTGGATTCCTCCTTTTTTTTTAATTTAAAGAGTCGCCTTGCGACAACAACAATAAAAAAAAACGCGCGGGAAATGCGGAAATACGGAAACGTAAAGGGAAACTCAATTAAGCGTGTCGGCGCTAATTTCCACGGCGCTCTAATGAACTTATCCGCGCTCCATATTGTTTTTACTCTTGCGACACGTCAGTAATTTTATTCGTCATACACTGTGTGAGTGGGAAATTCAAGTCATATTTTTATTAAATTATTTAATTATAAGGGTAAAATATGCAGCGATGGCATGTAATAATTCTTAAGTATGAAAATTTCCGGAATGTGTTTGTAATTAACTGCTGCATCATAATATAAATTCTTGTCGTTATAAACTGCAATGTATGCAACCAAGTTAACAAAAAATTTCTTACCTATTCGGATGACTGGTGGAAGCGCAGCGACAATTGCCAATAGACAGCAGCACACGAGCACGTCATTCACTCGGACCATGATGTGTCAATTGCGCATGCGCGATAGCGCACAATGATTTTATTTATTTTATTATTTTGAATTTGCACACTTAAAACTCACTCACTCTTACACGAGAACACTTTGTAGATAAATGGCACTAAATTACAGTTGTCTATGATTTGGATTGATTGATTGATTGATCAGTTTGCTAAGCTACACTGTCAGCCTACGAATGATGAGGTTATGTTTGGTGACGTCACATTGCTCCAATTGCTAGTTGTTTTTGTTTGGTGCGATGATTGAATCTCTTTGGATGCATGACGATGAAACACCTGAAACGAAAAGCTTTGTATTAATAAAAAAAAACACACACACAGAGCAGAAGCAAACCTGACGATAACAACATTTGGTAAACATAAACATCAATAAATAACCGAATGAAAAAATTGCGTGTGTGTGTATATTTGAGTTGCGTTCATTCATTCATTTCGTTGATTGGACGAGCGGACGTTTCCTCATCGGTTTTGCTGCATTATCGATTGTTTGTTTGTTTGCCAATTGAAACGAAAATTCTTTCGCACGCAAAAAAGTAGAAAGCACTGAAAACGCAATTCCTCGCATCGCTGCAGCAGCTGTATATAGATGTGTATATAATATTTGTCGCAATGGTGGTTGCGTTTTTTTTTATCATTTTCCTTCCGGCGGGCTGCGTTTTCCGCTCGGTGTACGCGCGTTTTTCCCACAAACCCATTTAATGCGGCTGCTGGTGGAGGCGCCGCGCCGCTGCGTGCGCGAATGCGTTGTAAATTTAATGAAGCACTAAAAGCAATCGAGAAAATTGCCCGAAATTGCGCGCGTCGCGAGTCGCGAGACTAAATTGAAGCGCGGCCACTATTAATAAAAGGGCCGCACTCGCTAAAATCATCAAATCTGCATTAATAAACGATGAAAAGTTTGTGAAGCGGCGTGAAGCGATAAAGCGCGCACGCGGCGGTGGTAAATGTAACGGCCACCACCGGTCGGTCGCCACCGACGCCGACGCCGGGGGAAAAATTAATTGCGACCGAAACGAGATTGAGGTTAGGGTAGTGTGCGCGGCGCACTGCGAGGTTTTCGTGCGTAAACATGCTACGCTGACAGAAATTAACTCGTTTAGCCTCACGCAACTCTGATTTTAATCTTTATAATGAATATTGACTCTTGCCATTCATAAATATTAATATTTTGCTTATTAATTAATATTTGCGTCGGGGATATGATAATGTATAGGATTTTTGGCGCTGGTTTTTGATTTGGTTGTGAATATTTCATTGCAACCCAGAAATGTCTGCAGCTATGACATTACCGCAGAGCGTTGCTCCTGCATCGGTGGCTGCGGAATGGGCGAATCCGGATGTATTATTCACTCGGCGTGGCACGTCTGACAAACAATTCGGGCAATTGATGCCAATGGATAACATCTAACATTTAAAGTATATCGATTTGGGTTTATTGCTGTAGATTAGTAAAAAACTCGTTTAATGGCGAAATTTGTACAATTTGATTGGTTTTTATTAATTTTCTTGTTGTAGCGTTACAGTTTCTCTGTGTAACGACAAAAAATATTTTCATTTCTAGCAATTATGATCTAGCATTTGTTGTCAAAGACATAGCATCGATGGTAACATCCCTACTAATATTATACCTAAATGCGAAAGTCCTGATGTTTGTTACACTTTCACGCAAAAACTACTTAACACATCATCATGGAAATTTGTACACATATTCTTAGAGGTCCCCGAATGGTTATAGGCTACTATTTATTTAATAAAAAAATTATTTTTTAAATAAAATAAAGAAATAGTTTAGCCAATAATACCTCTGCATCTGGCTATTTGACTACTTTAACGCCATCTAGCATTCCAGCAATGAAGCTCAAACCTAAGTACTATAGTACCATCACACTGTATTATCACACTCTATTACCGACAGCTACGTCAACATCAAATCCAATTGACTACACTATGGAGACTGTACACTATACTTCCATAGACTATACTTTCAGCCATTTTAAACTTCCCGCCATTCTACTTCATTGTTACTTCTTCTGTGACTACAGACGCGTACGGAAGCAACTTCAACATTTTAGATATTCGCGAGCGAAGCCGCGGGTTAAAGCTAGTTTGAAATATTGTTGTAATTATGATCCCAATATCTCTACAAATTGCAATGCAAATTTCTATAACTTAAGCACGATTTTTCAGCTAATTTGTTGGGGTGCACGTTGCGTTACTAGAAAATCATTTAAACATAACACAAGTGAATACAACTGAGCCACGCGGAATTCATATTTAGACTTCAGGAAATATTTACTGGCATTTTTACTAAAATAATTGAGTGTATAACCAGCTTACAAAAAATTAAACAGGTGCCAAATCGCGTAAAATCTCAAATTTTAGTCATTTTTTTTATTCCTTGTATACTTAGGTAGTATTGTTAACTAAGTATTTATTCTATTTTTAAATTTTGATTTTTTGTTTTTGCGCTGATATTTAGGAGATTTTCGAAAGTTTGCAGGTGATTTCCCGGACGATTTCGCCGCGCATTATGTTAAGTAGGCGCGAAAAGCCCCCACGGCGAGAGGTGCATTAGAATATTTTTCAACTTAAAGCCACAGGAGCAAAAGTGGGAAAACGTGCGCGAAAGTTTTTCCGAAATTAAGCCCACTCCGCAACTGGCGGTGATCAATGACGACTGGCGACAAACTTTTCCACTCAGGGGCGTAAACTATTCAGTGATGTTCGCAAAATGGCACGCGACGCGCCTCGCACGAGCTTTGAGCTTTTCAGCTTTCCACACCCATTGAGCTCTCTTTGCTTGCCTGTGCGCACTTTGAACATTTCAACAATAATTTTTGTTGACTATTTTTCCCGTATCTATTTGTTGGAAAATTCTAAAATCGGAATTCGCGAATAATTTTGCATCAATTGCGCGCTCGTTTCGCACACGTTTTTCTTGCGCCGTTTGACGGCATTTCCTACACGTTTTCTTGCCCGTTTATGTCTTCGGCCGCCGCCGCCGCACCGGCAGTGCCCCATTGTGTTTGTACCGTTTACCGGCGCGCAATTTTCGTTTACGACATTACGTGATCGTCATTCCGGCGCACTGCACCTTCCGCCCCTCGACCGCGCGACAAAAGCTCGCGCAGAAAGCGCAGCACGGAAATTAATTTTCATCACAGCCTTCGAAATGCTTTACACATGACTTAAATTTTGTAAAACATGGAAAAGATGAAAGGAATACTCACTTTGCGGGTTCTTACGCTTTTTTTCTGGTTAATTTCATTGCGGTTATGTCATTTTACTACATTCGTAACCTTAAAATGTCTAAATTTCATTGAAAAAACAGAAAACCTTCATAAATAGCTATGTTCGGTTTTTATACCGCAACTCAAAGCATTGGCACGTCAAAACAAATAATTAACCGGAAGTATAACTTTTTTCGAACCTTTAACTTTTTAAAGGTGATGATCTTTTATTTGGTCAACAAACTAAACCAACGCTGAGCAAACGCTGAAGATCAAACATTTCCGCTCTTTGGCTTGTCTTGGCACGTGCCGAACAAGTGGCGTTTGGGATTCGAAAGAATATGCACAAAACCGCGTCCAGGGACGCGCCAACTTTCTCCACCGCCGCCCGCCGCCACCGCCATCACCCGGAAGGCAAACAAAAGAAACTTGGTGTTTTTGCGCTTTTGCAGTTTTACATCGGTTCATATTCTATTCCCTTTTATTTTTCCAAAAATACTTTTTTCTAGCCAAGCGCGCTGCTCAAAATTCAGGGTTTTGCTTTCTTAAACCATTAGCATATGAAATGGCCTCTTCTGCCGCCTCCTGCATTATTCACGACGGACATTTTTATTTCACTGGCTCATGAAGCGCTTCAAACAATTTTCGACTTACATTAAATCTTATTACCTATCATAATACGTGTATATACGGTAAAAGTTTGATCAAAATATTTTATAAGAAAATTGTTTGTCCCTAAATCGGCTATTATACTAAAAATAAAATTTGATCATTTTTGCGGTGATGAATAGAAAATCTGGACAAATGAGCGTAAATTACACGCAAATTACCAGCTAGCGCTCAGTGGGCTTGTTGCATCCGAGGCATATTGAGAGTTCACTACCTCCATAACTGGATTAATTGATAGCACGATAGCTAGGGGTGGGGGGATGGCGCCGAAACGAGATATGTCTCGATCGAGCGAGGAGGGATGAAGGAGATTGCCAGTAATGTCATTACGGACGCGATGCGCTTCGCTCGCAACGAAGAAAAGCGCAAAGATGAAAGACGAGCCAGGGATGCATCCGAGCGGCGCCCGGCAAGTCGGAAACCGGAAGTCAGCAGTCGGAAGTTTAGATTTCACTAGTTTAATCTCGTTAATCGCGTCGATCGCTTCGCCGCCGATCTAATGACGACGTGCTCCAAGCATAATTCGTTTTAGTTTTTAGGGAAAACTTTTTGTATTGTATATTTGGTTGCCTATAAATTAAATTTGTCTTTTTTTTTGTTTCAGATGATGATTTATCAAGTTTAGTGAATGAATATTTAGGTAAGTTAATTTTTAAAATAATTTTGCGTTGCGGAATTTACGAAAATGATAAATTGTTGTACGGAAAATAGTTTCGAACACGCGTGAATGCTTATTTTGCAAACTTAATTAAGCGAACGAATGTGTTTTTAATGAGGCTGAGAAAACTCGCCCAATTGGGAATCGAGGTGCGCGCGGTATAAATTAGTCGCACTGACACGCCGAACTAAAAGTTAGTGCGCGCGATATTCGCACGTGTCGGAATTTAGCGCAACTTAATGAAGTGCTCGAAACGAGAGAACAAAAGCCGCACACACGCGGCGCTAATCGGCAATCTATAATCTCCGTTCAAAGATGGCGCTCGAACGTGACGAAGATGGATGAGATTTGGCACGAAGCGCGCGCGTTGCACTAAACTTGTTTTAAAACTCTTCCTTCTCTCTTTTGATGTTGTTCATGATCATGATGATGATGATGATGTTGATGATAATAATGAATTGTTTCGCTTTTGTCGCATTGCGAAACAATTTACGCACAAAATACAAACTTTCATGTCTCAATATCTTTAATATCTTTAAAGCTCTGTTGTGCGCTGTATTTTGTGCGTTGTGTTGCGCGAAGCTTTCAAAGCTTTGGAGAGTGTTTTGTTGTTTGAAGGGCGCGCGCGTTACTGTTGCTTGGGTTGCGTGCGGCGCGGGCTGAGTGTATACTTGGTTGCCTGCGGATTTGGGACTCGCAGGTCCGAGATAGTTAGACCCGTCTTCCGAATACATGAATATTAAATCATTGCTTAAGCAAATGTGCTATTCCGAGATGTAAATTATTCATTATATCAAGTCGCGCACTGCGTGTTATTGTTTGAATCAACAAACACTTATCATTTTAATGCTAAATATTCAATGTGTGTGTGTTGGGTTGCATAGCATAATTTTAAAAATAAGTGTAACGTGTGTGTTTGGTTGCATATGATAAAAACAAAAATAAAGTTTTTTCAAAGAAAGAAAAACTTTGTGCACGCATCATACGATTGCAATTTACGTTCGCGCTCCGCTGGCTTTGGACAACAAAGAGGTTGTCACCCTGCTGGCTCTCAGAGAGAAGAAGTTATTATCGACAGGGGCGCGCAGGTCTGGAGGTGTCATTTGTGTCGTTTGTGGCAGCACAGCGCGCGAGCGCGCCATCAAATCATTTCTTTTGATATCATTTTTTGCGAGTGAAAGCTCCGACGCAAAAGCTCAAACCATCATTTCATGTGTTTGCTACGCGTGTAAACAATGGCGGCGAATAATTAATTCGGCGCCGATAAGTCATAGTCATAGACTAAGTTCTCGCCGTGGGTTTTTGAAGGGGTGAGTTACAAGTTGAGCGATGAAAGAGAAAGATTGATTTTTTTTTCGGCGTATGTGAAAGAGCTTTTCGTACACTTTTTGGTTATGGATAGATGCGGGCGGTGGTGGTGTAACAATCGAGCGCGAACGGAAAGATGAAAAAAGTTTGTATCAATTTTTCATTCTCGGCGCACAATAAGCAAAGATAATAGAAACATATTTCTTTGTGTATTACCCTCGAACGCAAGTTTATAGATCGGCGTATACGAGATGAAAATCGCGGGGTGAAAGTTTTCTTTTTTTTGAGTTTTTTTTTCTTGCTTCGCGTGTGGTTCATGTCGATTGTTTTAACTCATGCGTGACGAAAAACAAGGAAAGCAATCGTCTTACTTGAACACACCACAATTTTCCGTGTGTGTATTTATTTTGTTAAGTCAACAAAGCATTAAATTTAGATTTTAAAAATAAATTTTAATTTTTGTCAGGGTTCTAAAAAAATTAAAAGATGATAAAAATCATTATTTTTAACTAGCACATAGATTTTTGTGATTAAATTCGCGTTTTCACGTTAAAAAACGCTTAAAAACGTTAAAATTTTTAGTAATTAATTCAAACGAATGAAATTTTTACAAGATAGTTGTTATAACTAAATAAAAACGTGAATTACTGTTTTATGCGCCGAATAAAAAATTAATTAATTAGAATTTTATATTTTAATGTACCTAAATTTAAGTTTAGGAAAAATTAAAATTAAATTAAAATTTATGTTTTCTTTTTTATTATTTTCATATTTGACAGTTGAACATGTAGCTAATAGAAGATAATTCAAATTGAACGTTTTTTGAGCTCGTGTTTCATTCGAAATTTGTTCGAGTTGCAAATTATGTCCGCTTCCCAGCCCCAAGACACCACTTTACCCGAAGTGGTTTATAATTGTCTTTGTTTGCAACGAAAGTCTGCGAATTCTTTTGCGCAAATTATTCGCCTTTTCAATTTTCCGTTAGGTACATTGAAAATTTTGGCAATGAATTAATATACAATTTATTATTTATTTATTTTGGTGAAAATTGAAATTATGATATTAATAATTGCAAAATTTATATTTAAACAGAGTCACTTTGTTTGAAATTAGTAATCCTGTATTAATAATTTAATCATTATTGTGCATATATTGATGCTTTAAAATTAATCTAAAAATAATTGTGAACCTCGGTTGTTATAATTAATGAATTAAATTGCTGCGAGGCAATATTTCTATAGAGCAAAGGAGATTATCAAATAGGTACACAAATTTCAGTTTGGCATTTTAATAGTTCAAATGATATGGGTGTAGTATTATGTTCGGTTCGTGTACGGCAACTCAAAACATTGGAGTAGCTGACTGTTTTGCGTGAAATAAAATATTTAACATAATAGGTGATTAAATGATTCAAAATTTATATAGCAAAAACAAACATTTTTTAACTTTTGATTCATTAAATTCATTTTTTGTTGGTTTAGAAAAATAATAAATAACGGAACAAAAGTTTATATTTTGCGATGATTTTATTTCATTTGACGTAAGTAACCAACGATATTGGGGATTTCATGGTTTAATAACTTATTTAAAAAGTATTAGAAAAAAAATATATATAAAAAGTATATGATCAAAATAACAAAATAGAATTTAATTTAGTCAGTAATTAATTTTAGAATACATTTATTAATGTTAATATACTGATTTATTGGAAAATTATCCAAAAATTATTAAATTTGCATCTGATTATTTGCACAATTGCAAAATATTTAATGTTTTCACATTAACACAACAGAAGATGAATTATTCATAAGGTGACTATGAATATTTATATATTTATAAACAAACTTAGCCTTTTTACACTTTTCTCAAACTTTTTTTTTTCATTTTTAAATTGTTTCTTTTCTCTCAGCCCCAAATAACAATTAAAAAATAATTATAATATACTTATAAAAAATTTATCAAAAATTATTTAATTTGTTTCGATTGAATTATTTACGCAATTGTATTCTCCCATCTTGCATTAAGATTCCAAATGCTTGAAGATGATGAATGGTGAGTTGTTTCAAAATCGAAACGTAGCAAACTTTGCAACCGGTTAATAATTCACACAGAAAGTACAAGAATAAGCGCTTTAAGTCAAATTTGATGAAATACCCACCACAGTTATAAACATGTTTTACTTTCATCCACCCCAACCCAACCTAACCTAGCTTTTAATATTTGAAAGTCAAATAAAAACGTATGTAGGTACGTTTCAATACAATGACTCCACACAGTCCCAAGTGTGCCAAAGCTTTGAGCTTTTTGAGTCGTGAGTTTTCCATTGCGTCTTCATACAATACACTCTACACTCGCCAGCTAGGTGGTTGTACAAAAGGGGTGCCGCTTCCACAAAATAATACGAAATACACGCGAATGCAAAAACGGCGCTGCGAAATCTAATTAGAAACTTGGTGCGCGTATTGTTTTTGCATAAAATTTGCGGCGGCGCGTCCGGAAAAAGTTGCCGCCGACGCGAACAAACCGAACTCTCCCTTCGACGTGATGAGGGCTGTTTTTCGCATTGCATAAATTGACGCTCAATGAATTTTTCGAAAGTTTTTTCATGAGTTTCAAATACGAAATTAATAAATTACATAATAATTATACAATTAATAAAAACATATTCAGAGAATTTTGGTAGAATTTAATGTAATGAGTTTAAAGTGAAAGATGTTGTGTGGGTGTGTAGTATTTACGCATAATTTACCTAAATAATTAATGCACATTAACCCTCTAATGAACACACCACGCGCCGAACTATAAACGCGCACCACGAAGACACACTGAACAACAACGCCGGCGACGACGTTAAAGTTAACGAGTTTGAGACTTGCGTTTAGCGAACGTCTCGAGTTTGCTGCCTTTTCGCTGCTGCTGCTGCTGCTGCTGCTTCAGAGGCGGCGGTTGCGGGGCGGCCAGCAAGCCATCACCAGCCTCACACGCACACTTCGCGTCTTCCGCGCGCGCACCACTCACCGATCCGAACCGCACCGCGCCGACGATGATCACGCGCCCGACGCCCGAGTGCCACTGACGGCGGGTTGCTGGCGGCGGCGGCGGCGGCACCCGCCACGGTGGCAGTCGTGCGACGACGCACAAACCGGTTCTTCAACACACGGACCAATTATTATTATAGTTTTGATTTTTAGTTTTTTAAAGTTTTTTGCGATAAAATTTATTTATTGTTTGTTTGTGCTTTGATAAAACAAAAACTATTTGAGTAAATTTAATGAAATTTAGGAATATTATAGATTAGACATTAGAATAAAACATAGGATACTTTTTGTTGAAAAATTTTAATTTTAAAGGAGTTTAATTAATGAAAATAGTTAAAATTGCATTTGCGACTTGTTGTTTGGCATTAGATTGTATGCACTTCGTCACCTTATGATAATATCCCACATCCCGTGATACTTTTGCACTTTGAATGAAATATGTACGCGTATATTGTTGGTTGGCGCGATGAAAACACGCCAACAACATCATCTTAGTCTTCCCCGAATGAAATCATCTCTCGCGCTTTCACCGCGCTGTCTCCATCCGCGCAGAAAAGCGACAATAAACCAACTGTGACATTACCATTCAGGCCATCCGTGCGGCGTGCGCGCCGAGCATGACTCTTCACGAGTCACTGCATAATGTGCATAATGTATTACGTACTTTTGTCTGCGCAAGTTCACGTCTTCATCATATTGCAATTGTTGTTGCGATTGTTGTTAAAACAAATGAGCTGGAAGTGCGCGCAGAAGATTATGTTCTCCTCAAGCAAAAGGGTGCGTCTCTGCTAGTGGTGGGCGGAAGGATGTCGACGAGGATTTATTGCGCTGGCTCGTTAAATTAATGAATTCACATAATGAACCGTGATTACAATGCGTAATGGAATTTGAACATTTTCAAAATAACAACGCCGCAAAAAAAGAAATTGAACATTTTTTTGCAGTTGATTTAAATATAAGTGGGGATATTTAAAGGGTTGTTAAATATGTTTGGCGTTAATTAACAGCCGGCGTAATTAAACCTGCGAGTGTATTTTATACGCGCTGCTTTATAATGCTGATGAACAAATACACATTTGAAAAAGATCAAAAGAAAATGCAATAAACTGCGTATTTGTATTTGTGTGTTTGGTTGCCTACCTTTTGTTGATATTTATGTTGTAAATTAATACAATACAAATTAAATGTTGTGTAACCAACTGTACGCGCCCGACGCGGATGTGGAGGACGCCGTAAATCATACTCAACGAATGTCGTCTTTCCTTCCATTTTCCACTTTCCACTTTCACCACAACAACAACTGCAACAACACTCTTGACATAAAGCAAAAGTATACATTACAATTTATTTCATTTAATTCAAAGGTAGAGAAATCGTATGGGTGATAATTTCGAGTAATGGATTTGCTAAATTAATTAGATTTGCATTCAATTACGTTTAATTAAGTTCGATGCGGTAGATTAGCAACTAACGCGCTCACACTTTGCGGACATTGCAAGTGAGACTACCCCCACTCCAGCCTTTGGGTACTGCTCTCGTGTTTGTATGCTAGCGAAGGAAGGCGGGGAAGCCTTAGAAGCAGAGCTCTCTGCACCCATCCACGATGGTAGAGTGATAATATTGTTGCAAAGCGGGCGGGCGGGCGAGCGGCGACCGCATTGCGATGGTCACGATCGTCGTCAGCCCCCGTCGCAATCAGACGTCGGCGGTGGCGGCGACACGCGTTGGATACCTCTTGAAGCCCCCCGGGGTGGTCGCACAATGGCGTTATTGGTTGTTATTACAAGCGGGCACATCGACACCCCAGCGTTATTGGATTGTCACGGCTTTATTACATGGGGTAATTTATACATTCGCGGGTGCACTTTGGGGGTTTTTACTAGGAATGCGAATTTTACTTCAAAACCGGTATTGGTAATACCGGTATTTATAAAATTATTTAATAAATCAATTAGGAATATTGAAAATTAAAAAATTTCAATTTTTGAGCCAAAGAAAAACTGGAATACCGGTATTAATACCGGGTTTTGAAACAAAAAAATACCGGTATACCGGTTTTTACCAAAAAAATAAGTATAAATTAAATATTGAACTATTGAAAATAAAATTGAATATCGAAAAATATTGGTTTTTGAAATAAAAATACCGGTATACCGGTATTAATACCGGTTTTGGAAAATAAAAATACCGGTAAACCAATATTGGTACCGGTATTTCCTAATTCTAATTTTTATTTCAAGAAAAAAAAAAGAATTATAAAAATTAAATTCAAATTTCAAGTTATTTGATTTTATTTGATTAGTAAAATATTTAAAACTATAGAAATAATACGTAATTGAAACAATTTTCGTCCCTTTCGTCCGACTAAAAATAATTCCGTATAGTGCATTGCTGTAGTCTTGCTTTTGTTCGTTTTTAATGTCCGCGCGCATATTAATACTACTAATGCAAGTATAAATTCAGTACAGTAATGCACGCATGGCCGAAGGCGAAAGCAAAACGACGCAAAGAAACAAAATGGCGGCCTCGCCATGCCATCGCCGTACAACTATTCGCATCTAGTTGTCGTATACGCGAAGCATTTGCATGCATTCCACTTTGTTTTGCATTGCCGCAGAAATTATTTTGACATTGCATTACGCGAAATTATTCGCATTATTTTCGTTGTATTTATTATCATCAGCGGAGCGTACGCGAGCGCAGAAATGAATTTATTTCGGAACTGAGGATTGTGGTCGACGGTCGGCGGCGCCTTAAAGGGCTGCAACGGCGCGCACATATCGTGTAACGAGCTTGGTTAGGTGCAGGCACGTTCGTGCAATTCATTGCGGAAAAAAATCAGTATGCAACCAACATTACATTAAATTCATAACTAAATATTACATAGCGCGCATTTTTGCGCGCAAAATTCCGCACGTGCAGTAATAAATTGCGAGAGGTTACACGTATATCGAGTATTTTGAACAGTTGTTATGACGATGCGATGATTTGCGGCGGGAGTTTACAGTCGGCGGGGTTTGCAAACTAAACATCAAAGCAAAAGCAACTGTCCGCCATTACTACCACCACTTGGACGCGAGTAGTCGGTTGTAGTATTGTCTGTGCAACTCGGTAACTATTCGAGCCGTTTTGGTTGAGCTTGATTATGAGACGCATTCATTGCGAAGGATAACAATCCCTCGTTCGGCATTAGCCAAACTAAATAAACTCAGCAGACCGATGCACACGGAAGGCAAGCAGCACACCCAGATCGCATGGAAATGAAATAGAAGTCGGGGATCGGATGCGGCGGCTGGGGCAGGGGTAGGGGTGGCGGGTGAAGGAAATGGGGAATTGTCCGTGACCAACTGAGCGTGCAGGTTTGGATCACTGCGCGCCCCCTGTGCGCCCAGCGCGCAGCGGTGTTTGTCAAATTGAAGAGTTAATTAAAGCAACAAATTTCACAAACGCACACGCGTACATCTGGTGGTCTAGATTTACCGTTCACTGAAGGATGTCAAGGACAAAACAGAAATTTAACTTTTTTAATGAACTGTAAAATTTATTTTATTTATTTTTAAGAGCATTTTGAATATTTTATTGATATCTACGGATTTATTAAGGAATTATTCTTTTATCACTTTTAATTTCCGAGTTATGGATGATTTTACTTTTGAGTACTTTAATTGCGCCCACATAAAAACTAACACAGCTATAAATTTTATCTTTTGCAGAAACAATCTGCTTTAAATTCTCTGTTTAATGACAGTTTACTCAAAACTCTACGATTTTAAATAGCTGAATTATAACGTTACAAAAGCCCGCGGTGTAATTTTATCCCAGCTGAGCTGAGAATCTAATTTTCTCGCTGCAACCCGCATTGCTTAACGCGCGCACTGCACACACCTGTCTATCGGTTAAGTTTGTTAGGTTAGGTTAACGCTAGCCTCCACTATGTGCATGCATGCATGCACAACTGGTTGCTGGTAATGTGGTTAACTATACGAGCGTAATCATTCCCACACACTAGTTTAAATCCAGTTATACATATAGTTTACACCTTACACGTCCGCACACTTTTCTAGCCTCGAGATTACGCCGGCGAACTTAATTAGAATACAAGATTAGGGAATATTACAAAAGGTTTATAGATTAATTTGCGGATTTTACGCATCGCTGCCGCCAATGAAATGAAAATTATTTTTTCTGATTAAATACGCCGATTAGCATTCGCAGGCTTTCTAAGGATGTCGGAGGTGTACGAGGAGGAGTAGTAGGAGGTAAGGAGTACCGGTGGTGGAAACAGTGGAAGCAATTGAGGACACTACAGAGCCGTGTGTTGCTAAGGGTGGAAGGCGGGGGCGGGGTGAGAGCGAAATGAAGTGGAAAGCGTTGAATCGTTTCGGCTAGGCGCACCCCGGTGACTTGTTGGAATCGTCGACGCTCTTGGATCATGTGCTTGAGGATGAGAGAATGGGGGTAGTTATTCTCTTCACTTTTCCTGCTGGCAAAGAGGTACAAATTAGCAAATTACTTCTCACTTCACATTTTCAACGTTTTTCTTCTTCTTTTCTGAATTTTTTCTTTTTATTGATTAAATAATAATATTTTTTCTACTTCCACGTTTAAATCGTGAGTTTTTCCACGGTTTTAGACACGGAAAGTGGTACTTTAATCACGGCCGTGACTAAAGTACTTTTGCCACAGAAATACAAAAACTAAAAGTGGATATCGAATGGAAGGAGAAATAATATCGTAAGCATCACGCTAGACGTTGTTAAAGTTCCACTTAGCGCACTTGATTCTTAATGTAGTATTTACCTCTTTGTTGTTGATTAAATAATAATATTTTTTCTACTTCCACCTTTAAAGTATCGCTTTTCCTACGGTTTTGAGGCATGAAAAGTAGCACTTTAATCACGGATGGCCAAGGCCGTGACTAAAGTACTTTAGTCACAGAAATACGAAAATTAAACGTGGAAGTAGAAAAAATAGCATAAGAATCACGCTAAACGTGGTTAAAGTGCCACTTAGCGCACTTGAT